CATGTAGATCTGAGGCTTCTCAAAGGAGCGGAAGTGGTTTCCTCTGGCTCCTCTTGGGGGTCTCCTCAGCAGGGAGGGCGCCTCCTGACAGGTGCATTGTGTTGGCTTAGTGCCAGTCACACAGAGCGATCCTCCCAAGCAGGAAATCCCCAGGTCCTGATTAAAGATACTTCCCCTTTCTGGAAGATTCCATTGGAATCTAGGTCATCCTTTGCCATTCTTGGCCAAAATGCATGGCCATGAAATCAAGACAATCCAATATTCAGGAGATGCAAAGATGCTGTGAAACCAGGCCTAGGGTCTTTTCCACCAAGGTCAAGGTACTAAACAGTGACCGATGGGCCTCTCCCTCTGGTGCTGAGAGGGAAGGGGTCAAGTTGGAAGCAAAGGGGACAGAGAGATGAAAAGACTGGTCAACTTTGGGTGGAAAAGATTTCAGTTTCTTTTTCTTAGCTTCAGTGGGGATTGTGGGGCTAGCAGGTCAAAACAGGAAGGTGAAATGGGGCCAGTGGATGGAAATGAATGGCCAGCCAATTTCAACTTGAGGTAGGAAAGGCCCTTCAAAGAGTCTGAGGCCTCTAGCCATGCCAGGGGCCAGCTATGGGTGGCCATCTGATGGGTGGATGCATGATCCAAAGACCCTCCCAGCCCAGAGACCTAAACGCATGTGGGAACAGAGCCCAACATCTCCTTGGTCAGTCTTTTCCCATTTCTGCCTCCATGACCAGTGCAGCTTCCTTGCCACCAGAGACATACCCATTGAGCAGGGGTGTTTGAGCCTGGCCTTCATCTGTTCCTTCCAACACAATGGATGCCCGGTGGGTTATTTTCTCTCTTGAGTTAGAACTGGTAGTCATTTCCTGACCCAGCTAGAAAATATGGTGCACTTGATAAGACTCAGTGGGTGAGGTCTTAGAAATGTGGTCTTAGTGCCCATCTATCCTGTACCCAAAGAGGTCAGAATAAAAACAATCCATTCTCATCATGAAAGGTTCGGTCCAGAACACCCCCC